TTCTATACTTCATTAATGACGTAGTTCGTTAATGTTGCTTACTTTGCTACGTACATCTATATACAAATGTACGTGTCTATCCTAGGAACAAAATTTCTTACTAATAGATATAACTCGAAACTAAATTATCGACGAAGTATGAAATATTAACTATCTTCCGGCATTATATTAAATAGTCATATAAATAATTACAAAAACAAATATTATTTTTCCGATACATTAACTTGTTCCGTAATTAATTATCACGGATAAGTGAAAACACGAATTATATATTTCTTATAGGTTCATTAATTTGGAAATTTTCATAAAAATAAAAAAAAATGTAATTTTGCGTCTGTTTCTTGTTAGCATTGAATCACATGTGTATTAAATCAATAGTCTTCTCTTCTCACGAGTTGAGCGTATTCGTTTTTTATATGCGGTGATCGTAGGCAAAAATGAATACGAACCACAGCAAAACATCGTTAACAACAAGCTCCGTCAGTATAGTGACGAAATAAATGTTAAATAAAATTATTCAATCTGATTTTTACACATCCCAGAATGTTGACGAAAGAGTGAGAGTGAGAGAGAGTGAGAGAGAGAGAGAGAGAGAGAGAGAGAGAGAGGACGCAAGAGGAACCGTAACAAATATTCTCTCGTACCAAATCTGCATACTAAATATTCGTTACAATTTCATATTCGGTATGCGCACCCATATACCGATTGCGCGTACCAATTTTTTTTCGACAATTTCGCTCTCGCTAGCATTTATTCGGGCGCGGAATATAATCGCGTACGTTCTTCGACTTCAGCACGTACGGGCTGAAAATTGTTCACAGAATGCTACGTTCTTCTTCTCATTGAATTTCTCCTTTTACTATTTCTAATATGAAGTTTCCCTTGAAACGAGAACAATAAAATGTGAAAACCCTCGTAATCACTTCTTCTTCTTCTTAATTTGAAGATTATAATTATAAATCCAAAAGTTCATTAATAATACTTCGTTGCAATTGATCATAAGTGTTTTTGAATTCCAATTAGAATGAAATTCTTTCAATAAGAAAGTACAGCATTTCGCTTAATTAATACATTTACTTTTCGAGTCAATGCGTATTCGAATATTTATACGATTAAAATTAACCTTTCAAATGCCATAAGCGTGTTAACACACTTTGCTTTGCCGGGCGGGTATTGCCTCCTATACAGAAAGCACATTTATATATTCTACTTTGAACTTGAAAAGCGATAAGTATAAAGTGGCTCTTTGTGTAAAACCATATTTCGAAACATATAATACAAAAGAAGATTTAATTACTGCTTTCATATATTTTTTTTTAAATAAAAAAACTACGTTCATTTTCAATTATTATAGAATTTTTTACCCAACGCGTATCGCTAAGATAATATTATACGCCATCTAAAGGGTTAATTGTTTTTTAATCACGTTTGACTATTATCACATGAATACAAAGCGATTTCAGTTTATACTATCGATCATTAAATATCTTCGTGTTAAATGAAAATTTAATTAGAAGTATATAAATCTCGATACACGTAACAGTAATATATATCATTTCGTGCAATGTGTTTAAAAGCAGAATATAAGCCTTTAATTATATTATCAAATCGATAACGATAAAATTATTTACTTCATAGTTAGATATTCGCGCATGATATAAAATTATTAGTAAGTAATATTGTACAATTGCATGTACGAAACTATGTATGCAAAATTAATTCACCTGTCAATCTTATTCAATATTATACCACGATCACTAGGTAATGTAGAAACCATTCTTTTATTAACTAATATTCGTTTATTTGAATGTTCTATAATAGAGTCAGTCAATTAACTGTAATATCTCGATTCATTAATTGACAATTAAATATTTATAAATATGCAAATGATTATAAATCATATAATTTAATTCTCAATAATAGTAAATGTTTAATTATCGATAAATGCTTAATTAAAAATCGATTTTTATTAAACTTTTTGATCTTATAATTTTTATATAATATTTATTATACATTTCTTCTAAACAATTTACAACCACCTACATAGACTAACATAAAAATATAAACATGAATTTCCATCACGAAAACATTCCCATCCAACTAACAATAACTGTGAGGCATTATGGAAAGATAAAAATTGTCAGGTGCGTTTTCTTGGAGAGTTATTAAATTTAAGTAACTTCGAGTGTAAGGTTCTGAAGAGGAAAAAAAGAGATAGAGAAAAAGAAGGGAGTGAAAGAGACCAGCAGAAGAAGGAAGAACGCGTAGCAGCAAGTCCTGTCGATTTATCTTCCAACAGAGAAGGGAATGCTCTCCGAAGTAAATGTCGGTTGTAAATCAGACTGCATTTTCTTCGACCACGTGCAACAAAAGCATGTGCGTGATGTATGCAGAGGTTGGCAGTAAACTGAACTCTGGAAAATCGACTGCTTTCCACGACTTAAAGAGATTACCAGATTCGACGAAACGATTGCTCTCTCCTCATTGCTCACATTGACAA